CCAAATATGATTTAATCCCAATATCAAAAATATCACTTTTATCCATTCATGAATTTCATACATGAAGTAAAAGTATATTTTATCACAATTTTCATAGTTAATTCCATTACCATACCATTTCTTTCATATCACATAATCATACACAATCTCTTACAAATTTGTATATTATGCTCTTTTCCTCATAGACAATAGTCTTCTCATTCTTGGGCATTATTAATCATTAATAATCCTTAAAAACATATTTAATTACCTTAGGTAATCTCATGAAATTAACCCAAAGATTATAAGCAATATAGTCAGCCATCCTCACCTTATGAAGTGCTGAAATAGTTGCCTTTGTTAAGCCCTTCGATCAATCCCCGTTCTAAACCGATTGGAGATGAAAATTCTGGACAGCAGCCAAAAGCCGGGCGGCTTTCACAAAAGCCGGGCGGCTTTCGTGGTCTGCAGCTACGAACAGCCTCCTTCGAGTGGCGGTTTCCGATGGTTTTGGCTCCTATCGATTCCCCAACTCTTCTAAGTTAATTACCACCACTTTATATCAATATTATACACTTTTAAACGTGTATAAACTCATGTTTAATCCATCATATGATTTCTTAAAAATCATACAATAAAATACTAGTTAGGAGCTTGATTGTTGAGTTCTTACCTCAAACACCACTCTTCTCTTCTTGGATTTTCTTTGTTGGTGCTTCCTTCAAGCTGGAGCTTTGTGAGAGTTTCTCCCCTGAGCTCTCCCTCCTCTTGGATGGTTCGTATGGCTCAAAATGAGAGGAGAGGATATCTATCCTCAACCAAATCACTCCCAAGACAAGTCCAACATGGGGTGTGTGGACTTTGTCTCCATGATGCTCCCCTCTTTCTTTTGCACGCACAAGTCAAAATGTGTGGCCCCTCCTCCCTCATTATTTGAGTCAAATTAGGGTGTAGGATACCCCAAGTGGGTGTAGGAAGTCCCGCCCAATTATTCCTGCTATTTCTGGCCGGCCGGGTCAAAATAGCGCTCGGGTTGTCCAACTATTTTTATCAACTTCGGTTGGCATTTTATTTGGCTACTATAATTATTATGATAACCCAACTAAATATTTGGTAGCCCATTCTCATATAATGGACCCGATATATAATTTAATTAATCATGCATTAATTAAATACACCAATCAATTACACGAATTTTATTCGCTAGGAAAATCAAATACATACCGTCTTCCAATGTCAAGTACATACGGGCGCGGTGTCACATGGTGTGACTCACAAGATCTCCAGTACTTACCACCCTCAAACCAATGGCCAAGCGGAAACCTCAAACAGGGAGTTGAAATCTATACTCTAGAAAACAGTGAACCCGAACCAGAAAGACTGGAGTATACGCATTGATGGTGCACTATGGGCACACCGAACCGCGTACAAAACTCCAATCGGTATGTCCCCTTATAGACATGTGTTTGGAAAATCTTGTCATCTTCCCGTAGAGCTTGAACACAAGTCATATTGGGCGGTAAAAGAATTTAACCTCAAACTTGACGAGGCCGGTGTGTATAGGAAACTCCAATTGCAAGAATTGGAAGAACTCCGTTTGGATTCTTATGACAATGCGGAAATATACAAAAGAAAGACGAAGGAGTGGCACGACAAAATTATCATAAGAAAGGACTTTAAGCTTGATGAAAAAGTCATCCTTTTTCAATCACGCCTTCGTCTATTTCCGGGAAAGCTGAGATCCCGTTGGACTGGACCATACAAAGTGATCAAAATATATCCACACGGGGCGGTGAAGATTGAAGATCTGGAGACTAAAGAGGTGCTCAAGGTGAACGGACAAAGATTAAAACCCTTCTTTGAGGGTTTTCAACCCAAAAATGTGGAAGTCATAGACCTTTCTGAACCAGTCTACGAATAAGGAGCAACAAAGACATCGTCGAGCCACGACGTTAAATGAAGCGCTTCATGGGAGGCAACCCATTTCAGGTATGTTTTCTAGTATTATTTTCATAGAGTGTGTGTGTAAAAAAAATAAAAATAAAAATAAAAAAATAAAAAAATGAAAAGGTGGAACAACACTCGATCGAGTATATACCAATACCCGGTCGAGTATTGGTAAAAAAAGATGAACCGATGCAATACTCGATCGGACTAGCAATTTTTTTTCAAAAACCAGGAATACCCGATCGGATATAATTCCATACTCGGTCAGGTATTTTCAGAAAAATTAAAGGGTCCAACAGCCTGCCTCCGAGACCCAATCGAGTACCAGGCTCAAAATTTGCAAAAGGAAACATACTCGATCAGGTATTATCCTATACTTGGTCGGGTATAGCCAAAAAAATTGAACATAAAATGCCCCTGCCTCCGAGACCAGATCGAGTACCCTCCTATACTCGGTCGGGTATTGATGAAAAAAACCATACCCAATGCCCCTGCTTGTCACGCCCCGAACCTATCCGGACACGTCAACAATCCGCCGTACATTACGAATAGTCAACCGTAGTCCAACATTACGAATAATCAACAATCCGCAGTCCAACACATTCATACTATACAAGGCGTCTGGGATATGATTCACACATAGTACATCCATAAACAAGCATAATGTAAAATATTCATTCAAAGCAGCGGAAACATTAAATACAAATGTTCGTGCCACACTTTGGCAAACATGGGCATACAAGCCCCCAAATGATTATTCAAAAATATAATATCCATGAGAATTAACTTAAATGTTTTTAAAACAGGAACGAAGGAAGCACGAACCACATCTTCCTTCCTTAAATTCTCCCGGAGCAACGGGGACTGGTAGCAAGCTCAGCTCCTACCTGAAACTGTGAGGTCGCCTCCCCCGTGAAGGGGAGGTCAGTACTTGGAAACATTTGACAAGTACAATGACAACTATACTAAGTATAATCAATGTTTCAATTTCCAAGACCCTCAACCAGGGTATTATCATATCATAGTTAACTTTGTTCGTTTAGTGTCAATTCATCGTTATTTACCACGGTCTAGAGCCCAACTCAATAATCACCGTTATCTACTACGGTCTAGAGCCCAGCTCAATAATCACCGTTACCTACTACGGTCTAGAGCCCAGCTCAATAATCACCGTCATCTACATCGGTCTAGAGCCCAGCTCAATAATCACCGATATCTACTACGGTCTAGAGCCCAGCTTAATAATCACCGTTATCTACTACGGTCTAGAGCCCAGCTCAATAATCACCCTTATCTACATCGGTCTAGAGCCCAGCTCAATAATCACCGATTCTTTACTATTCAATTTCTTAGGATCCATTCATCCATTATTCAACTACAAAACCAACTAATCTTTAAATACTAGTTATTTGCTCATTTCAATATAATTCTTCATTCAATATATAATTTGGCCTTAATATCAAAATATCACTTTTATTCTTTCATGGCTTCTTCTCATGAAATAAAAGCATATTTATCACAAATGGGATTTATGGTTGATACTACTACCATGCCATCATATTCATAACATTTAAACATACACAATTTATTCAATAAATTTGTATATTATGCAAACTATACTTATAATCAATAGTAATTTCATTTAGGCATTATTAACCATTAATAATCCATGCAAATCACATTGTATATTAATTTAAGAAATCTCATGAAATTAACCCATAGATTATAAGCAATATAGTCGGTCATCCTCACCTTGAGTGAGCTTAAGCGCGTTCTACGCTCCCCGATTGAACTTTGACTAATTCCGGTGAACTTTGACCAACTCCAGCGAACTTTGATCAACTCCGGCGAAACTCCGGCAAAGCTCAAAAATACTTTAATCAAGTTCCTAACAAGGTTTTAACATCATAAAACCTTAATCAATATAAATAACCTCTAAAAGGTTATTTTCCGGTGAACTTGTCGGTTTGGCTCCTAAGTCCGTTTTTTGACTTAGAACCACCTTCCAACCCACCATTCCACACTCAAAACATGTGGAACATTCCCAAGGGTTCTTCATGTGATATATAACTCATATGATACTTAAGGAATAGAGGAAAAATTATTATAAGGTCATTACCTTAATTCACCTAGTTTTTCCTCCTAAAAACCTCCCCCTTGGACCTCCTTGAGTTTGAGCTTGTTCTTGGCTATGGAAGATGCTACTTTTTCTGGGATTTTCTTCTTCTCTTGAGTGTGTGGCCGAGTGATGAAGAGGGAAGGGGGTGAGTATCTTCTTTTGTCTCAATAGCATGAGGGGTGTGGGGAGAGACCCACCCTTTATTTTGTTTGATTCCTTTCCATTCACATCACACACCTCTCCCATGTTTCCTTCATCATTCAGCCGGCCAAACATCAACTTTGTGTGACCAAATTCGTGGGTTGGCCCCCACCCAAGTGGGAGGTCAACCCCTTTTGTCCAGAAGTGTACAATCGGCCCCGAAAGTTGTATTTTTCTGACTGTTTTAAATATATTTTATTTTATCGGGTCAAATAAAATATATTATGTGTTCTTAATTATTATACCCTTTATAATGAATATACATTCCCAAACTTTAATTTATAAGTCCCCGAAATTCAATTTCGGGCTTTTATCAGTTAAATTATCAATACCGATATTTGGGCTTCTTTTGATCAATCGGTCAACTCTGGACCTTTCCATGGTTCAAATGAAGTAGCCACCACTATATAAATATTATCTTGACCAAGATAAATAAAATATATGGTTTCGGGAATTTCGGGCGGTCCCTGCTCCCGGTGTGGGCCCCACGTGCGAATTTACTAATCACGCAAAAGAATTAATAAAAGTTCACAACTTCGTATACTTATTAACCATTCCACAGGGTTTAATACATTATTCACTTAACAGTAAATACATTTGGGGACGGTGTTACACTGCTTCCCAGACCCGATCGAGTACCGGGCTTAAAACGAGGCAAAAGAGCAATACCCGATCGGGTATAACAGGGTACTCGATCGGGTATACCTGCGATTTAACCCCCAACCAACCCCAAAACACTTCATCTTCTCTAAAAAAATCATCCCAACTTCAAAGCCCTCTCCCCGAAACTCCATTTTTGAACCTTCTCTCTACCATATCTCCCTCATTCCTCCACCAAATCATCCCGTTCCACCATCAAAATACTCCCCTCACTCTCCTCTCCATATCTATACCCACAGATTCCATTTTCCCCAAATCTCCAAAAAAAATCCAAAAAAACCCCACCCCCATTCGAATTTCAGTTTTTCAAAGCTCAAAAACACCAACAATGGCTCCAAGAAAGAATAGGGGAGAGAGCTCAAACGCCATGGCACCCATTCCGGGCTACGAGGACTTTCACTTCACCGATACCGAACAACAGGATCGAATCCTCGCCACAATTTCAAGGCAAGTCAAACCATCCCGTTTTCTTTGCCATAAAGCTCTTCATGATTTAGGCATTCTTAAGAGCACTAGAAAATTTTTTCATGGGTTGAATATGGACCGTATTTTCAATATGAAATACAACTCAAATGAAAGAATTATCTATGAGTTCATAAGTTCGGCTAGTTTTGAGAGCAACGAGGATGATCTTAGGGATGATACACCCTCGTTTCGTTTGCTTAACCAAGAATATTCAATAATGAAACTTGAGTTTGCCGAACATTTTGGCATTCCTGTCCCCTACGAGAGAGAGATTTCGGACAACACCGTAATAGGTCATGCACTTTGGACCAAAATGACAGGAGAGGTCAATTTTAGCACCTCCCAACTATACATAAGCCATGTTCATCATCCCATCTTAAGGATATTTTTAAAGTTTTTGGCTAATTGTATACTTGGGCGCCCCAACAACCGTAACACTAGGATGGGGGACGTGTGTTTGATGACCACGGTTTTATTCCGTCGTGCTGTGGATTTTAATCTTTGTAATTTGATGTGGGCACACCTCAAGAAAGAAACCTTTGCTAAAGGCCCAATTGTGTTGGGTGGGGTGATTATGCACTTGGCAACAAAGTTTGGGTATACGGACAACTCTCCTATACCCGACTATTGTTTGATGAACATCACTTGGTTAGGCAACTCGGGGTGGGCTAATTTTTCTCACACGGTATATGGTGAAGATCAACCCCGACATGTATACAATTGGCTCATACACCCAAAACCGGTGAGACATTTCCCCTTGCCTAACCCGGACCTCCCCAAACTCCATTACAATAGAGATGTGCCCCATTACTTATTCCCACACCTCCTTCCACCACACTTACAAGAACCTCAAGCCCGCCCACCCCCACCCCCCCCCCCCCCCCCCGAAAACCAACCCGACCAAGAACCTCAAGCCGAGCAACATGAACCCGAGGCTTTACTTCCCCACATTCCTGAATAGAACCAAGTCCCTCCACAACCCGATTACTTCCAACAACTACTTGAAGGATTCAACAAATTTACCAATGAAGTTGGAAGATATCGGGAGGAACAAAGGGCGAGATTTCAAAGACTTGAGAAGCAACGGGCCGAAGACAACCGAAGGTACGAAGAAGATCAACGTAGGTTCTATGGACCTATGTACTCTTACATAGCTCATCAAGGCTCCTTCCACAACATGGCTTAACCACCCCCACCCCCTCTTGGTATGACCCCACTCAATGGGGTAACTTTGAAGGATCTAGCTCCGGGGGTGGAAGTTATGATGGCGGGGACGGCGGAGATGCTCACATGGGCGACGGGAGCTTTGGAGGCGGCTTTGGAGGAGGCTTTGGAGGCGGCTACTATGGCGGCGAAGGTGGGCACTAGGGACAGTGCTTTGACTAAGAAGGGGGGAGACTACTCATGGTATGTAATTTTATTTTCTACCTTTACTGTGCACGAATTTTTTTTACTCTTTGTAAACACAACAAAAAAAAAAGAAAAAGGAAAGGCTAGTTAGGTTGAAAACCCAAAAATGGGCAATCTAAACAAAAATGGCTTATAAAAAAAATAAATGAGTGAGTTAGGGAGGATGAAAAAAAAGATGCTAGGATGAAAACCTGAAAAGGCTCCTAGGCAAAATGAGAGATATGAGAGAAATATTTGTTGTGTGCAGGAACTCATTTGATCTCTTGGAAGACAGAGGAGAAGAAGAGGAAGAAGAGGAGAAGAAGAGGAAGAAGAGGAAGAAGAGAAGAAGAAAAAGAGGCAAGAAGATGGAGCATAGAAGATCATAAAACCCAATAAAGAATGTTGTTTGTAAACGCATTTTTATTTCTTGGTGATCTTAGTTTCTTTCTTTCTTGAACTCATGGGAAGATCTTAAAACTGTTTAAAACATTTTACTTTACTCGAGGCCGAGTAAAGAACTATGTGTGGGGGAGTTGATACGCGTGTAATTTCCGCGTGTATGTTTACATTTTTAGTTAAGTTTTGGTTGTTTAATATTTCGCAAATTACCTACTTTTGGTGTAATAGTTATGTTTGTTATTTAGTTGTAATTCATTTATATTAGGATCATTCTAAGCTTAAACAGGTCCAAGATCAATCAAATGATCATTGGTGAAGGAAGGTGCAAGAGTACATGACAAAAAGGAGGCAAAGTCCTGATTTTTGACCTGTACCCGGTCGAGTATACCATATACTCTATCGGGTACCAACTGGACTTTTAATCAAATCAATCAGGAGACAAAAGGATGTGCAGGAGAAGATTTGGCCATGATCAATTGTAATACCCGATCGGGTATACCTTTTATTTTCACTCCGAATTCGATCGAGTGTGCCTCAAAACTACCCTTTTTACACATACCCGATCGGGTATACACCAATACTCGATCGGGTACCCGAACTGCACTCCCAAAAAGCCTATAAATACACCTCCTTCCCTTCACAATTAGACACCGATTCCTTTATACTCTTAAGCTCAGTTTAGAATATCATTTTTTTATATTTCTTCTGGCATGTTTAGTCTCCAAATGAGGAGCTAAACTTCCATTTCTTGGTTTTGCTCTTGAAGCAAAGTTGTGAGTTATTTTCTTACTTTCTCCTCTTGATTATTAATTCTTCCCTTAACCTCATTCTATATTAATGTTGGAGGGTTGCTAAGTGAAGATTAGTTAACGTTCCAACATTAATTATTACTAGAAATGATCAACGAACCGATGGTTAATCGTTGATGGTTTCACAAGTAACTTAGGTTTATTGATGCACGGTCGTGGTTAATAAACTTAAGAGGGATTAATTTTGTTGGTTAAACCGAAACCGTTGTGTTGAGGTTATCAATCTCAATTGATTTCATCAAGGAGTTAAAGAGGTTAAATGCTACTATTATATCGGTATACGGCGTTGTTCTATATTTGATTAATAGTAAGGGTTATTAATGAATGGTTGATGTTAATAACTACCCTCGATGAATTGGAGATACTCCGCGATTGAGTATTCGAGAGGGAATAAGTTATAGATATAACAATGATCGACTAAAATATATCAACAAGTAGAAAGTAGCATGACCAAGTCCCTTATATTCTTGAATTTAATCTCATATAACTTGTTCATCTTCGTGTTTAATTTAATTAAATCACTCAATCAAAACCCCCCCTTTAATTACTAGTTACATAAAAAGAGAGTTATTCCTTTCCCTGTGGATACGAACTCTACTACGCTATACTACGTATAGTTGTTAGTATCGAATTATTTTGAGTGCACACACGACAAAGTGCACGTCATGCACAAGTTAATTTTATACTCTCTTTATCTCAAATTCAGTTGCAAAATTTACTTTTTTGGATTAAACATTTCATTTTATTCACTTAATTAGGACATCCATTTCTTATTAAATTTAAATTTAGATTTTGCAACTTTATAAAGATCTTAATGTATTTTATGAATATATAAGTTTTAATTTATTAAAATTGAATTTATTATCAATAGGCATGATTTAACTTTAACATTGATTGAACATAAATTGTTTACATTTTAAAATAATTTGAGATTGAGATAGTACTCTGTATTAATTAAATAATTTGTTAATTTACCACAATATGCAATTTTCATTTCAATTATTAGTTAACTAAATTAAATTCTAAAACTAGACATAGATAGAGATGTCAATTCTTTGGGAGAAGAGTGAAAATTGATGGTTAATTAGTTAGGACTCCTAATTTGCCTTAAAACTTCAACTTTCTTTGCTTTTCTCTCCCTCTACACTTGAATTGCTTTGCCCACAAGCAATAGGAGTATAAAAACATAATAAAAGACAAACATGTAAATAAAAGGATATGAAATTGGGTTGTCATCTCCCAATAAGCGCCTTCTTTAACATCGTTGGCCGGACGTTCTTCTTGATTGTTTCTTGAATAGGTAAGAAGTGGTGTAGTACTCTTTGTGCAGCTTCAAATGATGGCTATAGACAATAAAAGGCTGATTTTGCCCTTGTTGGATCACCATTTCTCCAAATTGTCGAACCTCAATGATGGTGAATGGTCCTGACCAATGAGGCTTCAATTCTCCGGGAAACAATCCGGACTTTGAGTCGTGAAGAAGAACTTTATGCCCAACTTGAAATTCTATTTCACCTTTCTTTTTGTCATGCCATGCTCCGGTCTTCTCCTTGTAGATACGAGGATCCTCATGTGTTTCATGCTTCGGAGTACTTTGAGGTATAGTATCAAAACTATTGACACTAAAACATGTAGAATTGGTGGGAGGACTCTTTAAGGATTCCCAAACGTTGAATTCATGTTCTTCTTCTCTAATACATAATTTCCCTAATCCATTCTTGACATCAACAAGAGCACCCGATGTGGCTAAGAATGACCTTCCGATAATAACCGGAATCTCCATTTCATCCATTTTTAAAATAAGAAAGTCAACAGGGAGATAGAATTTGCCAACCTTCACAAGAACATCTTCCACCACTCCGATAGAGTAACAGATTGTTCTATCCGCCTATTGAAGAGCTATAGTTGTAGGTAGAGGCTCCCCCGCATTAGCTTCTTGAACAAGGAGAGTGGCATAAGGTTGATGCTAGCTCCAATAGGTGAAATCATAAACCGAACTGCACTACCCAAGTTGGTTTCGATTCAGTTTCGGTTCAGTTATAGTTTCGGTTGGTTTTATCGGTTTCGGTCGATTTTATCATGTTTTTATCGGTTTTTGTTGGTCGTTTTGGTTCGATCGGGTTTTTAACCCAAAAGGTGAAACTGTTAACCGAACCGCTAGTGGTTTATCGGTTTTAGTCAGTTCCGATTTCAGTCGATTCGGTTTCAATCGGTTTCGGGCTTTTGGATTTTTTGTTCACCCCTAGATTATAATATTATTTACCTATATTATTATTAATGTATTTTTATTGTTATTAGTATTTTTAAGTGACTGTTATTATAAAAGTGTAGGTTGTAGGTAGCTATAATTTAATTACTCTCACGTATAATAGTAATACTACAAGCCCGTTTGGTAGCGCGGAAATCGGCTGTTTTGGGTGATTCTGGTGAATTTTATGAAGTTCTAGCCGAAGTGGCTGCATTGGCTGATTCAAGATTTTCTTTTAAATATTTTATTAATAAAATAAAGAAAAAATTATATGTAAAAATAGTTAAAATGATCATCTACAGTAACTTCAACCAATACAGACATAAAAGTAACTACAACCTTACTTTTCTGCTTATTACACAATTTAGCGCGCGTAGGAAAAAATTATGTGTTTGGTGAAAAAGTTGGTTGATAAGCTCGATAAGCCGAAAAACAGTGTTGTCAAACGGTCGATACATAAGTTAATATAAAGTACTTCTTCAAAAAAACTTAATAAAAGATATTTTAATTGGAGTTATAGTTATAATAATCATTATAATTATAATTATAAATATGGGGATAAAGATAAAATGATATCATAATAATAACTTATATATAATACTCCTTCAAAAAAACTTAATAATACTAATTGATAGTATACGGTAAGATTAAAAGACAAAAAAGATCACATAAATTCTTTCCTATTAGCACGCATGCATGTCCAAACTCCAAACTCAAAAGATAATTAAAGGGATAAGGGTCAGATTGGGCCTCGAACTCGAAAAAAAATGTCAAATAAGGTCATATTTCGGATGCTCTGTCTGGCCGACGCCATTTGGGGCGGTTCCCGATGGAATTTTTTGATAAAATTTTTTGAGCATCTTCCTCATTAAGTCTAGTTTACCCATACCAAATTTCAGCTAAAAACTCAACCGGGAAGGTAGTCAAATGAGTTTTTGAAGATAACTGTAAAGTTAAACAACGTCGTACATTTCGGGAAATTATTTGACTACCTTCCCGATTGAATTTTTAGCTGAAATTTGGTATGGGTAAACTAGACTTAATGAGGAAGATGCTCAAAATATTTCATCAAAAAATTCCATCGGGAATCGCCCCAAATGGCGTCGGCCAGACAGAGCATCCGAAATATGACCTTATTTGACATTTTTTTTCGAGTTCGAGGCCCTATCTGACCCTTATCCCTTTTTCCCATAATTAAACCTCCAGACAAATCATCAAAAATATGACCGAGCATATTTCTCACAAAAGGGCACTGTAGTCAACCTCTCTCCCTCAGCTGCACCATGCGCAGCATCTGACGCGCTTATATATTTCAGATTAAAAGAACAAACAGAACAGCCCATTTCTCTCACTAAAAAAGCCATTTCCGGCATTCTCTCCGGTAAATAATTCGTCAAAATGCAAAACAATGTTGTATATTCTACAATCGACTGCTATTCTCACAGATTTCCGTCCATACCTTACTTGTTTCACTTGTTGTTTTTTATTTCCAGGATTTTCGTCGACCGGCTGCGGCAGCGGCCTTATTACCGTACGGAGTAGCCACCTGAAAATCTGGTATGTATATTCTACGATCGAGTGCTATTCCAACAGATTTCCGTCCATACCTTACTTGTTTCACTTGTTGTTGTTGTTGTTTACTTCCACCATTTTCATCGACCGGCGGCGGCAGCGGCCCTATTACCGTACGGTGTAGCCACCTGAAAATCTGGTATGTTCTACGATCGAGTGCTATTCGAACAGATTTCCGTCCATACCTTACTTGTTTCACTTGTTGTTTACTTCCAGAATTTTCAGCGACTGGCGGCGGCAGCGGCCCTATCACCGTACGGAGTACCACCTGAAAATCTGGTATATTCTATGACCGAGTGCTATTCTAACAGATTTCCGTCCATACGTTTCTTGTTGTTGTTGTTGTTTACTTCCATGATTTTCATCGACCTACGGCGGCAGCGGCACTGTTACTAGTTTCTCCTCCCCACTGTTAGGGTTTTATTTACATTGTGTTTTTATCATTCTCCAATGTGTTCTCCATTGGATATATGCCTGAAAAAGTTTCGAGTTTCAGAAATTTCGTTGATGGCCGGTCATGTCACTTTCATTCGGATATATGCCTGGAAAGGGGATACAAAATTTCTTTTCCTTTTTTCATTTCGTTTGGGTGTTTTTATTGTATTCTGTTTTCTTGCTTGTAAAGTTGGGGTTTTAATGTTTTTAGTTTTTAACCTCCGGCACGTTTCAAAAAAAAAACCTCCGGCACGTTTTTCATCTCCCACTGTTAGGGTTTTAATTAATTTGTGTTTTTATCCTTCTACTCGAAAAAGTTTCGGGTTTCAGAAATGTGTTCTACAAAGATGATGTGCAAGTCACATTTATTCGGATATAATGATATATGCCTGGAAAGGGGATACACAGAATTGAAATGTCGTTCGCCTGTTTTTTGTATTCTGTTTGCTTGCTCGTATGCCATATTTTCATTTCAAAATTTAATTTCCACTTTAGTCTAAAGTTTAAACCCCAACCGCAGCCTGTCAACTTCTGGTGGGGGCATCATTTTCATTAGACTTGCAAGGATCAAACGGATAAACCCCAAAACTTTTGGACATTGTTCCTTTATTCCCACCCATTTCGTTAAGACAGTGATTTTCTATTGATTCACCTGTATTTGAGAAGGTTTAGATTTTCAGCTATATTTAAAAGTTTTTATGAAAGAGTTATATTTGTATTTTATTCTCTTTATTATATATCTCTAGTCTTTAGATACGTTTTCTTCTTTATTCATTTACATTTTTTCTAAATTACCGTAGTTTTACCGTCATAAATTTAATTATTTTTGTTTTGTTTAATTTTTTTCATTTTTGCGTGGTAATAATTCACGGACTTAGGGTGGTTTGCAATTGCTTTTGCTTTAAAAATGATTTTTAAAGTGATTTTGGAAAAAGAATTTAATAATAAAATTTGGTAGTGTTTGAAAAAAGATTGATTTTGAAAAGTAAAAGTTGAATTATAATGTTTGGTAAAATATGCACTTTTTGTGTAATAGAAAAATAAAAACCAAATTCTAACTTTTAACTTTTAAGTGTTCAAATTAAGCTATCTATTTACAAAGAGACATTTGCTTTTGTTATGTTTTGTATTTTACTTGTATAAAAAGATTTTTGGCGATATCAATAGCAAATTGTATTTATGTATTTGCATTTTTCATTTGAATAAAATTATGAATATTACAATATTCGTACACCAACTCCTTTAGTTTTCTTTAAATATTTTATGCGAGATAGTATAAATTGTAATCGGCTATGATTTATAAAAGGGGCGATACTTGGGACGCTTCGTTTTAAGTGTAGAAAAGGATTGAATTAGCTGAGAAGTGGGGCAAAGGGTAAATTTGTAAATCAGCGACGAAAAAGCTGTTACTGTTCACTTGTCATTTTTGTTTCAATTCACATTACAAATTACTATTTCTAGAAGATTTCTATTACGAAACCTATAAATAATGGCTTTTAATTTGAACGTCTAATGATATGTAGTATTTTTTTTTTTTGACAATTTTGGGATTTTAAACAACTTCCATTTGGTTTTTTTGAAGGTATAATGGCATTTATCGGTTGTCCACATGTTCAGGTATGAATTTTTGAGTCATTATGTTTGCTTTGGCATTACAAGTCGTACATACACTCTCTCTTTCGAAACTATAGCTGACCAAAACAAATCATTTTTTCTAGAATCAGAACCAACTGCCCTATACTAGCAGTCCGAACCACTTCTATATAAGCGGACAGAATCCCAGGCGATTTTGATTCTTTATGTGTGTATCAGAACATGTGCATGTTTACTAGTAATATACGTACTAATATAATACCCTGTATAATAGTGGAATATTATGAAATTGTAATTATGTCTATTAGGATATGTTTTTTTTCCTATTAGTATAGGTAATACCGTAATAGATATACTATTATTATACTACGTATAATGTAATACCGTATAATGTAAGTTATTACCGAGTAATAAATTATACTGCCTATTTGTTTGAGGAAAGAATGGCCTAAATATTACTCTTGGAGTCTTAGAAGACAAAAATATGAGTGCTTTCTAAAAAGACAAAAAAGTTGTCAGATTTAAAAAAAAAATCATTTGGGCCTATCGTCCGCTTCTTCTGTTCTCCTTGGGACTAATCACTCCTCACGATCTCTCTCCTGCGCAGCATCTCTCAGAGCACCGCCGAACTTCCCGTCGTTGCCATCTTCGACCTCCCGACCATCTGTTTCTTCTCTTTCTGTCAGTTCGATGGGATGAAGATGGAGTCGAATGACCGTCGCCGTCACCATAAGGCCACGCCACCCAACCTACGCGCGACCTCCACCGCCAATCGCAGCCCCATCTCCATCGCAGCCAAGCTACTGTTAGATCCAGTTGTTAGGGTTCAAATCGAGGGAGGCGGCGCAACCAAGCTAGAGTTAGATCCGACTATTAGGATTCAAATCGAGAGCAGCGGTGGTGGTAGACTGGCGGATAGGGTTAAGACATTGTTAGTGGGCTGGAGGTAGGGTGCTAGGGTTCGGGGTTGACAAATTGGGGTAGGGCGAGTCGCAGAGTGGCAGGGCGGAGCTAGGACGGGTCATGGCGGCGGATGGGCGGCGCTGGACAGGTCAGGTTGTGGGGGCTGAGCGGCACTCAGGCGGGGAAGGATGTGGCTGGGCGGGGCTGGTGCGCAGGGGAGGGGGCTGGTCCGCAGGGGAGGGGGGTGCATATGGGAGGGGGACTGATGAGGGGGCAGGGCTCTTGGGAGGGGCAGATGTCGGCAGCTGGGATGTTGCGGGGGCGTCGGTTGAGGCCGCGGTCATTGGTGATGTTCAGCGATAGTGGTTTGCGGTGATGGTCAATAAGCTTGGTACGGGGCTGGGGGCTGTGAGGGGCAGGGGCTGGGTACACCATAGACAGCATGTCACTGTGGCCGTCGACGGTGGTGGCCGGAGATGGCATTGCAAAAATGTCTTTGTGATCAGAGGTTAGGGCGGAGATGTCACTATTGAAATGTTACTACGGAATTGTCACTAGGAAATGTCACTACGGAGTTGTCACTATGGCAGTGACACGGGTGGCGGCAGTGACACGGACGCCGGTGACGTACGACAATGACATGAGAATGGACAGTGACATCAATATGTGATTGTCACTTTATTCTACTAACATTTTTGTCCACATTTAAAAAATGATCACTTTTTATCCAAATTTAAAAGTGGTCACTTTTTTGGTAATCAACCTTTATTTAGGGGGTGTTTGGAACTGATTCTGCTTCTGCTTCTTTTTTAAAAGCAGAAGCAGAATCAGAATCAGTTTTCAGAAGCTGGTACCTCCCAGCTTCTAAAAAAACTGATTCTGAGAGTAAATTAGAGCTCTAGAAGTGCTTCTGAAATTTCACACAAACACTCCAGCTTCTTCTTTTGCTCCCTGAAGGAGCAGAATCAGTTTTGAGAATCAGATCCAAACACCCCCTTAATACTTCCTCCGTCCCGCTATGATTGTCTCATTTTACCATTTCGGTCCGTCCTACTAAGATTGTCTCATACCTTATTTGGTAAAGTTTATGCAATGTGGTTCTAAATCATTCCTACTTTATTTTTTTTATCAATTCAGTATCAACCATACAAACTCACTTTTATTAATAACCGTGTCATCTTCTCTTGTCTCAAACTTAAGGGGACGGAGATAGTAATATCCAGGGCAAAACTCATTGTTTGAGTCCTAATAATTATTGTACTACCTACTGTGTATGTATACTAAAAAATAATGTCGAAGTCAATAAAAAACAAAACTGAAAGTGACCGGACACCGGCAGTGCTTTCCGAGTAGCACCGTCACCTGCAAGCTTTTTGGATTTGCATCATCAACATCCATACTTGCTTCAATATCCTCCTTGCTAATCAATTCAATGGAGTCCAATTTTGTTCACCTGCTGCTCTAAGGAGGATGAACATCACCATCTCCCTTCAATGGATGCCATTTGGCATTACAATAATGATTTTTCTTAAAATTATTATAACTCTTTAATTTTATATATAAACTCATTTTCACAAAAAATATATCAAATTTAATAACTTTTTAGGATATATCCAATAGTATTCATATTGCATATGAAATTATTGATTTTTTAAAATGTGTTTTTAGCCGATTTGTTTATAGTTTACATATACTGCATACAATATTGGTACCATATGAAAGATTATAAGAAATTATATATATATATATATATATATATATATATATATATATTGAAAAATTGAACAAGAAACAAAAAGTTACGGAGTATAACAATTGCAAAATTTAAAACAATTGTCATTCCTTGTGGCATCCCAATAACCCCGGGGAGTTATGTTCACCTTCTTTTGAGGTGGTGAATAAAATTGTTCTCACTTCAATGGCCCTGCATTTTCTTCCTTGTTTTTTGCTGGGTAATATCAACTTCCTTGTCACCACGTAATCTACTTGAGGAACCTGATGAGACCTCCGCATCACTTCTTTTGTCACTTGGCATGTTTTTGCTAGGAATTAGATAAAATCTCTAATAAATGGTGAGTAGGGGTGTAAACGAATCGAATCGAACCGAATACTTGATAATATTATTCATATTCGTAAAATTATCGAATATTCGTATTCGTATTCGTTTAAAATTTGAATCTTATTTTATATTCGTATTCGATTCGTTTGATATATTCGAATATATTCGAATCTTTTTCGAATCGAATTCGAATATTCGAATCCGAAAAACATTAAAGTTAAATTGTGAAAACAATTAAAATTATGATGTATAGTTTGCTCCTTTTAACTCATTTTCATATTACATATTTCATACGAAACAAAATATATTTAGACAAGTCACTTCAAATTTAATATCAATATAAGGAAATCAACAGAGAATTTTAATTGTAAATTAAGCTATTTTTACCAGGTAAAGTAAGAACGTTTAAATTAAAATATGCAAAATATTTACATGAATATTATGTTATTAATATTTTTATGTTGAAATATATTTATTTATAAGAAGTAGTGTATATTGTATGAATATATATATAATTCGAATATATTCGAATATTACTCGAATCGAATATCATTGTATTTGTATTCGTATTCGTAAAGTATTCGAATAAAAAAACAGATTTGTATTCGTATTTGTATTCTACTTACACAAATTTGAATCGGCATTTTCGAATTCGAATCACGAATCGAATCAAAATTATTCGATTCGTTTACAACCCTAATGGTGAGGATGTAGTATGATACTCTCTCCGTAACAAAAAAAAAAATCTTCCCACTTTCCGTTTTCGTCCGTAAAAAAAAAATCTTCCCATTTCCAAATCTTCCTATCTTACCCTCAATAATTCCTAAAATAATACACTATTACAACTACTTTTTTTGAATTTATCTACATTCCATCACATTATTCTACTATCTTCCCATTATACCCTCAATAATTTATATCTTCTTTCACTATTCTTAATCTACCTACTTTTGAAATGAGAAGATTTTGAAGTTACGAAGGGAAGACTAGAGGATCTCCAATGCTATTCTTAATAGGGGTGGGTTTGGTTCTTGCGGTTCGGTTTTGACCTAAAACCAAATGTAGAATCAAAGTAAAAAGTTCGGTTCGGTTTCGGTTCGGTTTTACACTCCAAAACTTGGAACCACGGTTTGATTGGTTCGGTTTGTTTCGGTTCGATTTCGGTTTTTCGGTTTTTTTACCAAAATTTTTTCACTTGATTTAAAATTGATATACTCCCCCCGGTTCTAAATAAATTTCACACTTTCCTTTTCGGGACGATCCAAAATAAACTTCACACTTCCTTATTTCCTTATTTGGCAAAGAAATCTACATCAAAACAGTGCTAAACAGTGCCAAACAGTGTCTCAACAGTGTACTCTACAGTAAAGTCAACTTTATTTCCTTAATAACTGTGAAGTCAAACACCGGAGTTTAAAAAGAACCGGAGGGAGTAATACTTAGAGGGATCAAACATATATTACATAAAGAATCAAGCACAATACAATGACAAATAAAATAAAAATGAGAAGAGATAAATATGTCTTTAATTATATGAGTATGCGAGATAGATAAAACTGTATATATTGTTGATTTAATTTGTTTGTGAGTAGTTTGAAATTTTTCATGAATATATATGTTCTATGTGATATAGTTGAGATTAATATTTATTGTTTTATCAATATAAAATCTTTAAGTTATCTAAAAATAAAAGTTAATTAATTACTACTAATAACTAGTAAACACATATGATCATCATTCAATATAGCTATTATTACAGACAATGAATGTGTAAATGAATTTATAAACTAAATTAAATTAAACATGACACAAACATTATCTCTCTAACACAAAAACCAAAGACTATTGATGATATTAAGATTTATTAGAATTAATGCTTAACAATTAACATATAAATTTTATATTTTAAATAGTTCGGTTTGTTCGGTTCAGTTCGGTTTTGAAGGGTAAAAATAAAAACCGAACCGAACAACTTCGGTTCAGTTCGGTTCGGTTTTTTACATTCGGTTTCGGTTTCTTAACGGTTCGGTTTTATTTGGTTGCGATTCGGTTTAATTTGATTCGGTTTTCGGTTTTTCGGACCCAGCCCTAATTCTTAATCCTTAATATTACAACCGCCGGTCTAGCATTGGAGATCCTCTAGTAGTTCTATAACCACGGAATAGGTGAAAAATACTAATTTAGAAATTTGTTCAACGAGAAGTTCATTCTATTCATGGTAAGTTTCCAATTAGAAAAATTTACTAATATAGTTCTTACATATAGTTCTTTTAATGGATCTTATTCGTTTTAATCATATTACGAAATGAATCAAACATCTAATGTTTTATTTTATGTTTATATCAGAGGTCTTTCAGTTTGACAACAAGAAGAGGAGTGCTCTCACCTAGCCCTATTGTTTATGATGACTATGGTTAGTATTACTAGTAATCATAGTTATTTAAGTGTTTTGATCAATATTGGTTAATACTGTAAACTAAAATTATGTTCTATTCATATTTTGGAGTCATGCCGTTTACAAAGCACCATGCGTGCTCTTATACAGAAGATGAAGAACTATCTACGGAAACTAAGTAATTGAGTATACAAATGATAAGAAAAGAATATTTACTTTACAATTGTAGAATATTTACTAATTAATATATATATATATATATATATATATATATATATATATATATATATATATATATATATATATATATATATATATATATATATATATATATATATATATATATATATATATATATATATATATATATATAGGGTAAGGTTCAAGTGAGAAGAACCCTTTGGGTGAGAAATGAGAATGAATCTCAGCCATTGGATTCGACTAAGTTGCAGTAAAAGACACTTCATGATGCACTGAAATATGCAATCTAGCACGGTGGCATTTCTGTAAATACTTCTGAAAAATCCGCATTACACGTGTCTAGTGCAACATGAAGCTATTTCGGTGCAATGCCGTCAAATATTAGTGCAACATAAAACAGTTTTAGTGCAACATGTGCAAAATTTAAATATTACTGCAACATAAAGCCAATTTTAGTGCAACTTCGTAAATCCAATGGCTAAGATTCATTCTCATTTCTCACATTAGATGCATTTCTCACCTGAACCAAAATCTATATATATATATATTGTAACACCCCCCTCAAGTTGGAGCATGAGGATTCGAAATGCCCAACTTGGAAAGCAGATGATGTAACTGACGTTGTCCAAGTGCCTTGGTGAGAATGTCTGCCAGTTGAGATGAGGTGTGCAGATAAGTCAGTGCAATAGTCCTGCGAAGGATTTCATCCCGTACAAAATGACAATCAATTTCTATATGCTTAGTTCGCTCGTGAAAGACAGGATTATTAGCAATATGTCAAGCAGCCTGACTGTCACAATGCAACGGGACTGGTTCAGATTGCAAAACACCCAAACTGCGAAGTAAACTTTTTAGCCAAAGAATTTCACACGTAGCTGTTGCTATAACTCGATATTCAGCTTCGGCAGAAGAGCGGGATACAGTGCCTGTTTCTTTGTCTTCCACGAGATAGAAGAACCACCAAGAAAGACAAAGTATGCTGTGATGGACCGGCGGCTAATGGGGCAACTAGCCCAATCAGCGTCACAATAGGCTTCTAGAAGCAATGAGGAGTCAGAACGCAGCAGAATACCCTGGCCAGGATTGGATTTTAAGTAATGAACAACTTTTAAAGCAGCTTCCCATTGAGATTGAGTCGGGGTTTGCATGAATTGAGCCAAGGTGTGAACTGAGTAACACAACTCCGGACGAATAATTGTGACATAAATAAGGCGCTCTACCAGCCTACGATATCGAGCTGGATCACCCATAGGAGTATCTGTAGCAAGGGCTAAAGAGTGTTTTTCTTGCATGGGAACAATAGCTGGTTTGGCACTAAGTAGACCGGATTCAGCTAAAATGTCAAGGGCATACTTGCGCTGGCATAAAAAAACACCAGTTGAATTTCGAGCAACCTCAAGACCCAGAAAATATTTTAGCTTACCCAAACCCTTCATGTGAAAGCATTTATGGAGATAGAGTTTAAATTGAGAGATAGCCACACCATTATTCCCTGCTATAACAAGATCATCAACATACACCAAAACATGAAGAGAGATATCACCCTTATCATAAGTAAATAAGGAATGATCACATGGGTTAGAAGAAAACCCATAAGTACGTAAAGCTGCAACAAGCTTGGCATACCAGCAACGGGGCGCTTGACGTAATCCATAAAGAGACTTGCGAAGTCGTCACACCTTACCTCGAGCACCAGAGTGAAAGCTTGGAGGAAAATGCATATAAACTTCTCCATCTAACTTGCCATGTAAAAATGCATTATGCACATCCATTTGATGTAACTCCCAATTTTTAGCAGCAGCAACCGCAAGAAAGACACGGAGAGTCACCATTTTTACCGTTGGAGCAACAGTTTCGCCGTAATCAACTCCTTCAATCTGATGATTACCAAAGACAACTAATCGAGCTTTGTATCGCTCTATGGAGCCATCAGAACGATACTTAATACGAAATACCCACATACAACCAATAACAGACTTACCCGGTGGCAAATTTTCAACGGTCCAGCCGTCCGAGTATGATTGTCCTCCAAAGCCTTCAATTCATCCTGCATGGCTTTGCACCACTTCGGATCTCGCATTGCCTCCTTAAAAGAACTGGGCTCAACATGAGAAGTAAGAGCTGCGAGAAAATGACGATGTGCATCCGAAAAAGAATTACAATTTACATAATGTGCTATAGAGTAAGGAGTACCTGAAGATGAGCTTGGTGGGGTTGAACCGTCAGAGGGGGGAATTAATGTCGTATTAAGCACATAATCGTGATAGCGAATATTATCAAACCTTTGACGTTTGCCTCGTCCGAGGGCATCGTTACTGAAGTCAATAATTGTGTCTTCATTAGGAGCTCCATCATTTGGACTATTCACAGATGTAACATTCTCATCACTAGGTGTCTCATGAGTCATATCCCCCTTAACAAACCCACCATTCTCGGACTGTCCCTATGCAGCGAGATCAGAAGACTGCTCGAGTTCACTCCCACTATGGACGCTATTATGATTCCCAGAAGATTGAGTGAACTCATCGTTCTCAAAGGCAAGATCAACCTCCTCATCAATAGAATAAAATTAATGTAGTTTTGACAGTTCCTTTTGATCAGCCAGCGGAAAGACACTCTCATGAAATACCACGTCACGAGATTGGAAATAATCTTCATTTTCAAGGTCATATAAGTGCCTTCCCTTTTTGCCAAAAGGATATCCCAAAAATATGCAACGACGACTCCGACTGTCAAACTTATCACTAGGATTCAAATTCTTGGCATAACATAGACAACCAAATACACGAATATGACTCAGATCAGGAGGACGTCCAAAAAGTAATTCAAAAGGTGTTTTTCCTTGAATTACTCGAGATGGTGTACGATTAATTAAATAGGGTGCTGTTAGAACACATTCACCCCAAAAATCCACAGGAAGATTACCTTGAAAATGTAAGGCTCGGGCAACATTTAGGATATGACGATGCTTGCATTCTACCCTTGCATTTTGTTGAGGGGTCCTAACCATGGAAGTTTGATGAATTATCCCATTCTCCCTAAAATAACTACTCAGCCTTTTAAACTCCGTACCATTATTACTACGTAATATCTTAACCTTATAGTCAAATTGACGCTCAAGCAAGGCAAAATAATTCAATATCAGAGAAGGGACTTCATTTTTAGTCTTCATCAAATAAACCCAAACACTTCGAGAAACATCATCCACAATGGTCAGAAAATATTGCGAATTACAAGAACGATTGGGTCTATACGGGCCCTACACATCACAATGAATAAGATCAAATAAATTTTCTGCTTTATTGTTACTAATGGGAAAGACATCCCTAGTTTGTTTAGCATGATAACAAATGTCACAGGGCTGATTGTCTAGAAAACTTTTATTCTTGCTAACTTGAGGAAGAAAATCTAATACTTGCTTCGAAGGATGCCCGAGACGTTTGTGCCACAACTCAGGTGAATCCAAGGATGATGCAACATTAACACGAGTCGGTTCCCCCCCTCGTCAAGTAATAAAGACCACCAATTTGTTCACCCACACCAATCTGCATCTTCAAAGTAAGGTCCTGCATAACACAATTATTGTAAGTAAATTGTATTCTCAAATTATCCCTTGCCAATAACTGAGATACCGATAATAAATTGCAATAAAATTTACGCACAAATAAAACATTGGTGAGAATGAAATTCTCATTTATCGTGATATCCCCAATCTTTGTAGCGCACGTGGTGTTCCCGTTCGGTAATCCGACCTCAATAGGAGCAACATCACAAATACAGTCAAAGATGCTATCAACACAACACACATGATGAGATGCCCCGGTATCCACAATCAACATGGCATGTATCTTACCATTGAGACGAACATTATTTGTAGCAGCTTGGGGCGCACCAATCACTGCATTTGCTTTAGCAACAGCTCCGGTATTATTTGAGACAACACCACCACGACCGCGGCCAGCAGATCCGCCTGAACGCCTATCAAACCAGCCTTCAGGATACCCATGTTTCTCGTGACATCTGTCCTCTAAATGTCCTGTTCGTCCACAGTGCGTGCATAGCAAAGGAGAACGTCCTGCTCGTGTAGCCGCCCCTGTGCCGCGATCTGTATGAGCAGATCCAGAACTGCGCACATCAAATGATAAGGGTGCTGCAACTTCAGATTTTATGGTTGTAGCTGCACACACTTCTTCCTCTTGCATCAGCCGAGAGTACACAACATTTAAGGTGGGAAGTGATTCTTCTCCAAGCAAATTAGAACGCACAGTAGCATAATAGGGTTCAAGACCCATCAAGAATTCTCAGACTTGATCGTTCTCCCTTCTTTTCCGCAGCACAGCAGATAGATCACAACGACAACCACGACAAGAGCATGAAGGAAGAACATCATAATCATTGACATCATCCCACAGCTTCTTTAAACGACTATAGTAGTTCATAATTGATTCACCATTCTTTTGTTTGCAATCAGCAAGTTCGCATTTCAGTTGATAAATTTTCATGCCGTTTCCGACTGAAAAACTTTGCCGTATATCCTCCCATAAGTCTCGAGCAGTATCTCGGTATGAGATGCTGGAACGAATGGATGGACCAATAGTATTAAAAATCCACGCAACAACCATCAAATTATTAATCCGCCATTCCTCAAGATCGGCAGAATCACTAGCCGGCTCTTTCAGAGATCCATCGACAAAGACAAGTTTACGCTTTGCGCGTAAGGAAATACGCATAGCTTTAGCCTATTCCTCATAATTCGATCCTGTGAGAACAACATGAGTAATCTTTGTTCCAGGATTGTCATTCGAATTTAGAGCATAAATGGGGTTGATAGCTACCGCCGACGATGAAGTGGTTGAAGAAGAAGAGCCTGACTGCTCTGATACCATATTGGTTAATACTGTAACTAAAATTATGTTCTATTCATATTTTGGAGTCCTGCCGTTTACAAAGCACCATGCGTGCTCTTATACAGAAGATGAAGAACTATCTACGGAAACTAAGTAATTGAGTATACAAATGATAAGGAAAGAATATTTACTTTACAATTATAGAATATTTACTAAATAATATATATATATATATATATATATATATATATATATATATATATCGTAACAATCAATTAATTAATTACTTGAAGTTAACTTTAACAAAAGTGACTACTTTTATGTATAGATTAAAAGGTAAATATATAGGAAAGTCAATAGCCCTATCAGTTTAGTATCTCACATTTTTGTTATAACAAATTTATTTCTACAGGTGCATGCTACGCCTATGCCTTTGCCGAGGTCGTAGGTGCAGTGTTTGGTTACGAGGAGAGCCGAAGAAATGATACATGGCCTCCAACCCACACTCCGCTATCCGCACGGCAGCTGATTGATGACATGCCTAGGAGATATCTCGATGGAGATTCTGAAAACGTGTCAGGGATTTATACACCGCGTTTGGAGCTTGTTGTTGACTACATTAAGAGGTATGGGATTGCTAGAGAGGAAGACTATGCTGCTGCCCTCCACAACAATAATGTTGTGGAGCTTGACCAGGCAAGTAATGACTAATGATATTTTGTAATTTTAATTAATTACTTTCAATTTATAAACTGATTATTTTTTATTTCTGTTTTTGTGTGCAGATTCCTCGTTTGCGACCACGTGTATTGGAGGATATTATCTACTATGGGGACGTTCATAGGCATCTAAGGCGTTATCCTCTGGTGGCGTCTATCGACACCCATGGCGATATGCTTTATCACCTTCAAAGACATGTATGTTTCAATAAATTTATTATTACTCCTTAACTTTTTAGTTTTGAAATTTTAATCTCTCTTTTTTCTTATTGCATAAGTATATTGAGGATGTAACATTAATTCTCTAAATAGAACCGAAATATTAAAAGTCACGTGTTTGGTGAAAAAATTGACTTATAAGCCTGATAAGCCAAAAATAGGAGTCATCAACTTGCCCCTTAGTGTTTAATTTAGGATGTTTTTACTTGGACTGTAATTTGTCCCAGACCAGACCAGACCAGGCCAGACCAGTTCAAACCAGACCAGACCATACTTAGATAGTTATAAAAATACAAAGAAACCAGACCTTACCAGACCAGACTAGACCAGTTCAGACCAGACCAGACCAGACCAGACCAGCAAATAACAGTCCAAGTAAAAACATCCTTAGTCTACTCCTCACTCAAGTCACCTTCAATTTAAAATTCACAAATCAACATCCAATCAACTTATATTTATTCTGTTTTTGTTAATAAGTTTGTTCTGTAAATAATAGTCTAATTACTCACAATTTGTAATTCAATTAGTTCATAAACAATCATCCACTTTATTTATTAAAATTATAAATATCTACTGTAGTCGATTTATTCACATAAAATAGCCTTTTCATTATTTTATTCTACCTTTATTTCAGTTATAATTTAATAGTTATCTGATTGTAATTAATCCGTAATTATTAACCTTTTCCTTTAATCTAATACAAATTATTAATTTGGCTCAATCAGTACATTTTTCGGGTATAAACTATTATACAATTTCCTTCTATTATAATTTATTCAATCTAGCTCATTCATTTACTAGTCCACTTTATTTATTATTTTTTTAATCAGGCCATATAATAATTCAATTATAAAAGTCCAGATTTAATTCGTCAAATCATTATTTTAAATTTAAAAAAAAAATCTAATTACAATAGCCAATTTGTTTTACTAAATTAAAAATGGCAAATTAAATAAATGTGACAAATTAAAAAGTGAACAATATAGCAATACCTCTCTGGCTCAACCTTACACTAAAATAATGTGGCCCAACAAAATAAAAGAAGGGTAAGTGTTCAGTTCTTGGAGTGTTTATTAAATTGAAATGATTAAATTATTGTTGTAGGAGATACATTCATGGAGAGGAGAAGGAAACCACATGGTTATTCTTACCGGGTACGGAACCATCGCAGATCAGAAGGTTTATGAATTTAAGAACAGCTGGGGTCTTGGATTTGCGTCCAACGGTTACGGTCTCGTAGCGCGAGAAGCCGTGGTCGACATATGGAAACCAAGCAACGTTGAGCTTATTCAGCCAGCCGAGCAAGAATGATGTTGCAAAACCGGTAAGTTTTCACATTTTAGTACTTAATTTGTGAGAAAAATAAAATTACTGAAAAACAAATCCTACTATTATATTTGTTGTGCAGGAATGTGAGTTGATAAACTAGCTAGCTTGGGTGTTGCTGATCTCTCTTTTGTGAATTACATACTGTTTGAGGAGTCTTTCATGTTTTAATGGTTGTTAATAGTAGATACTATTACTATACATTTATGTGGGAGTGTGGGACACTTGGAAGTTGGAAGCGAAGAAATGTGAGTTGCTAAACTGTTCATGGGATTTTAATTAGGTTGCAATAGTTGCTAGGCAAGCTCTCCCGTGCACTTGCATTATAGGATGTTTTGGTACATCCGACAGATGGCATAATATTATTTGAAAATACTCCACGTAGGTCTCCAGTGTCTTTACTCTGTACACTGCTTTGCTCTTTATACTCCTAATTTTCCTTTGACTTCCTCAAATACTTTATTTTGTAATCTTCGTATTCACCTTAACTGAATTTCATAGATTAATGGTCTATTAAGTTGAAAAACTTTTTGAAAATGTAATTTAATTTGTATGTTACTTTGCAGTGTAAAGAAACAAAAATCTGAAATCCTACATGTCATACACAATTTCCTACCCTGTATTAAATAAGCTCCAATAGATCCCTACTTTGATATGACGTTATTAAGTTTCTAAATTATACAGAGTGTAATGCGGCCTAAAGAATTAGATCTGGTGTTCGTTCTTAATATGGATTTCTCAACAACTAAAAAAACCTTTAGAAAAAGTCGCAAATGGGAGGAAGAAGCTGAGTCGTTGATGAATTGAATAACACAAAATGAAGAAGATGATTAACCAGACTCCTAAATCAGAAAAATCAATAAATAATAAAAAAATGATTGAAGAAGACTCTTAAAATTGCGTTTGTGTAGCCCCGTTTTCTTGTTAAATCAAATTGAAAGACCGGAAGGAAGCTCGCACGGTGGCCGTTTTCTTGTTAAATCATTTTCTTGTTCGAGGGATGATTACGGACTTCCCATGGTTTCTTCTCCGTTAGTGTTATTATCCTAAGGGACAAGTATGCAATTTTAGAAGTATTATCCGATGATTTCTTACTTGGAATAGATAGCCAATATATTGGTGCCTGGTGGCAAATGCACCAAAACATTCAGTCACGCGAATGCACGGTAAAATTTTCCTAGTTGCTAATGCTGAAGTTGTCACTAATCACTATTGTGTAGTGATTAGATACGTAAAATACGTATCTATTGCTCGTATCATGGAACAGGTTCCATGATGAAGTTGCGACCACGTGTGTTGCTGATCTCTCTATTATTGGTTGTAATGAAATACATCTACAAAATCCCTTTAATTTACCGACTGTTTTTTACATTCCAGCCTCCCTTTTCCATCTTCTATTCTTGCAGTGAATCCAAAATATTTAGGGCCTGTTTACTAACAGAAATATTTTCCAGTTTTCCAGAAAACTGGAAAACTGGAAAACAAAAAACAGGAAACGTGTTTACCAAAGAAATTCCTGGAAAACTGGAGAAAGGAAAAAAGAAAAACGCGTTTACCAAATCGTTTTTCAAAACGGAAAAAATGAAACATGTCTCTCTTTTCCTTAATGATTTGGAGAAGTGACTTTTACTAGTTTTCCAAATTTGGAAAACGCAGATGCTACAGTGCCTTTGCAATGAATTTGCATACTTACACCTAGTGGTGAGTTCGGTCCTGCTCCGATGTCGATTCTATTCCGGTACTTCCATCCTCGTACCTTACCCCTTACCCCTACCCTACCCTACCCTACCCACCCAACCCCGACCCCGTGTACCCATTTTTCCCTATAATGACCTTACCCCACCCCCCACCACATGCCCCGACCTCGGCCCCACCGCGATCCACCCTACCCTACCGCCACCCCCCTACCACCTCGACCCCACCTCGATCCACCCTACCCTACCGCCACCCCCCTACCACCTCGACCCCACCCCGACCCACCCTACCCTACCCCCACCCCTCGTATATTACCACTTACCCCAACCTTACCCCTTACCACATGCCTCCTACCTCGACCCCACCCCACCGCCATCCTACCCCCCACCCTCGTACCGCCATCCTACCCCCCACCCCCACCCTACCCTACCTTGACCCCACCCGGATTCCGGGCCCACCCTACCGCCATCCTATCCCAACTCCCTACCCTACCCCTACCTTACCCCAACCCCAAACCCTACCCACTACCCCCACCCTTACCGCCATCCTACCCCGGACCCTGGTCCCGACCCCACCCTACCGCCATCCTATCCCAACTCCCTACCGTACCCCTACCTTACCCCAACCCTACCCACTACCCCACCCTTAACCCTAACCACGACCCTAACCCACCCATTACCCCCACCCAACCCCCTACCCCTAGACCTTACCACCCCACCCCGACCATACCCCTTACCTCACCCCCACCCATAACTTCCCTACCCTGACCCCTACGAGTAGGTATGGGTGGGTATGAAGGGTTGTGGTGGAGTATGGGTAGAGTGTAAGATCGTGGTAAGGGTAGAGGTAGGGGTCAAGAGTGTGAAAATTGGAGAACTGTGTGAAAAAATTGATGAACATGTTTTCAAATTTGAAAATGGAAAACTAAAAAATAGAAACAGAAAATTGGAGATAGAAAAACTGAAAAATAAAAACAGAAAATTGGAGAACGAAAAACAGAAGTAGAAAACAGGAAAATATCACTATTAGTAAACAGGCCCTTAGTTTTTTTCCAGTACATGGAACCTACTGCTGCAGAGGCCAAGTATCAGACGGATGGGTGTATTTTCTTGGTGGGTGTCTCATTGTTGTTTAAACTTGAAACAATGAGTCAATGATTGACACCTCATCTGTCTGATTTCTGAAACAGTAGCTTATACAATCAGTGTTTCTGTTAGAGTGTTACTAATTCCTTATATAATTCATGGCATAACATGTTAATGTTAACATGTTATGTGTTAAAAAGCTTCTGCTTTTTAATATAGGGTGCACATGTTATGTGTTTAGGTGTTAACATGTATTAACATGTTAAAAAGCTTATTTGTTAAAGAGCAGAAGCTTCTGCTTTTTAACATGTTAAAGCAGAAGCTTTTTACACTCCCGTTATTTAGCTCAATAATGCCAAAGATGGAACCATAGGCATTTGCATTCTTCTCTAATCATTCTATCATTTATTTTGACATTAGTCATTCATATTATTGGACTACTAGCCGTGTGGGTCACCCTCGAGTGGGCCTCAGACGCCCTTCTTGAATACTTACTATTTTTCGCAGGTTGGACCCAAAATAATGCTTGGCCCGCCCGACCTTCCTCAACTTGTCTTGAAAGGTTATGTAACATTATTTAGATAATGTTGGGCTCTTATGTTCATTAATAAGGCCCAAATAAGTATTTGCAAACCCGACACTAATATACGAGTTTGAACAGTACAATAATCAATCATGCGCTACGTAAAACATTAATTGTTTTACAATTGTTTGGAAATCGGAAATTCAATACATAGAAATTAAATTTTTATATTGAATTTTCAAGGACGTTCGGGTGCGGTGTCACATATTGAATGTTCTAGAATAATATTGATAAGTTTTCTATAAAGGTATGGAACTCACTAAAACCGTGCGAAAGAGTATGGAAACCTTTAAAACATTTTGAAGAATTGTGGAATTCTCTAGATCCTTTTATTAGATTAGAGAAGCTTGCAGATACTTTTTGGAAGAATGTAGATGTGCAATGTTGTAAATAATTCTAAAAAAGATTTAATGAGATTAGTATAGATATGGATAAGATTGCCCATTTCTATGAGGGAACCTTTTGAGTTTTGAGTGTGTAAATGAGTGTACAAGAGACCAATGAGCTCGTTTTTCTATGCAAAATTTTGAAATTTGAACTTAATAAAACTCGTATGATTGATTTACCCAGATTATAGATATGAGTCAAGTAGAATGTAATGACTAAATTGTGTTAATGTATTACATATTTTATTCATTTTATTATATTTTGAAAAAATACATCATAAATATTAGCCTTTAGTACACCCCCGCTTCGAAAAATCTCTGGCTTCGCCACTGTGCGCCATCACCATGAAAAAGTGGTCGTCGCCATAGTGCCATATGCGCGATTCGTATATGCGCCATGAAAAATGCATTTGAGCCATGACGTTGGTCATGTGCCATGACAACTATGGTGTTTAAGCAAGCACATGGCTACTGAACTTATAAATTTTAAGTTTTAAGATGGCTTGAAATTCTTGAAATCTTGTTCACGTGTTCATTAACAAATTTGTTCTAACCTTCACACTACCATTAGCAATTTTAGCATCACTTTAAAATATAATCTTTACTTACTGATTGATGGGAACAAAACTTTTACTCTACTTGAATGTCAACATCACGTTTAATAGTTCATAAATCACCAAGGTACAATACTGTAAAAAAGGAATTACCATTAATAACATCTTAAAAATTATGAAAAGGACAACACATATGACCAAAATCACCATGACATGATATATACAAAACAAACTGATTCATTAGTTTATATTTTTTATAAACTGCCTCTCAAAAAATCATAAAAATAGAAACTTTTTAGCCTCTATTTTTTTACTCTAAATAGGGATATCATATGCATGTTGGGACATACTTGGTTCATTTGAAAATTGATTCTTTTCTCCTTTGATTCATTACGTCGGAAGACATATATTTGTGTGGTAATCGCTTGAGAGAAACAATCTTAAGAAAAGAGAGAAAAAACAAATGAGAATAAGAGAAAGGGATGGGAAAGCAAGGAAAAAGAAGATGAAATAGTGATAGATCGATGAGTTCATTCAGGTCCGAGCATTTTCCTCAGACCCCTTATGGGAAACAACCCATTTTTATCGAATACTTGAAAGAAGGATGCATTTCTAATGAGTACTTCTAATGAGTAATATGTACATTAACAACGCAGCCATAGTTCAATCTAAAAGCAACTAAACCTCATCAATTCTTTTCCATTAGTCAAATGATGAAAGGGGGGAAGGGAGGATAGGTAGTGTTAATACTAAATCAGAAAAATTATGTTTGAAATTAAACAGATCCAAGTCAAAGATTGTAAATACATTGAAACTCGGTCTGGAAGAAATTAAAATCAACAAAGAAATGAATATGTTAATGTTAATATTAAATATTATATCCGGACGTACGCACATGCATGCTACCCAACGTACACACATGCATGCTACTAATAGCCTAATATTAAATTAGGAATACTTTGTATATTTGGAAACTCTTTTATTATAAATATATCTGTCAGGTACCCTATTTGGGTAACCTTCCCATTATTTCACATGGTATCAAGAGCCTAAATTTTTTTCTCTCTCTCCTCTAAACCCTCAATCTTTCAAGCGATGAGCTCGGCCGCAGACTCCTCCTCCGCCGAT